TTTACAAGTACATAAATGTGTTAGAATTTGACACCTTCATAGTGCTTGAAAGAATGCTCAGCGGTCTATCTGCAGATGGATGGATGGATGGATGAACGGATGGATGGATTTTCTTTTATTCTGTAAAAAAGCAATCCTCTTCTGATTCACTGTGATCACATTTGAACAATTCTTGAAGTTCCATTTTATAACAGGGCCATGAATGAAGCAAAATGTGTTAGAGGAGCTGTATTTGGGCCGCAACACTGATTTACATGCAGACCCAGAAAAAAATGACCTGATGGGCTCCATTACTCAGTACAGCCAGTACTATCTGTCCAAGTCATGACAGTGTAATGCAAATGTGAAATGTGTTACACAAAATTGCTCTCTCAAAATGTATGGAGGCCATGAAATCATTCTGTGTACCATTAAAAGGGCAATTCAGAGGCAATTTTTTATTGAACCTGTGACTGTGACTATTGGGTCCCCTGAGGTGTCAGTATTGATGGCCTTGGTCTTTACAGCTACTTGGCCAGTTACAGTGTGGAAGTCTTCTTCTTCTTATTATTATTATTATTATATAATACAATTATTATAATAAAACCAAGAAATGTGGTTTTTATAATAATATTAAATAATAATAATAATAACAAGGCCTTGTCTATAGAAAATATTTTAAATTCAAAACTATTTATTTCCCATCACCTATCCTACAGTTTCAGCCATCTGTCATTTTTTGTAAGGCTTCAAAGCTAAAGCATATTTTAATTTGCACACAATGCTCTGTGGTGACAGTGTTCACCCTTCAGTTTCACATTTGGTGAATGTCCGACATCTGACTTGGTTCATGACATGACAGCCATAATAACAAACCAACAAGGCTGAAAATCCTGAACACTGATCCCCAGTGTGAGAACAGCAGCTCAGCTGCTTTTCATTCGTCTTGTCTTCTAAGCTCAGTTTTCTTTATAGGATGGCACTGGGTCAACTACTGCTGCGACAGCCCATTTTTTTCCAAAAAAATGAACTTTCCTTGTAAAAAATGTCTGGTTTTAAAATGCTTTTTAAAGTTACATTTAATCTTTTAAATTCTAGAGTCATTGTTACCAGTATATCAAAGTATAAAACATAAACTATAGACTGTGGTAAAAAAAGTCCTCTTATAATTAAATAAACTGACCTTCTATATTAATCCCACAACACTACACTGCAGAACCACTCTTATCAAACAAATAACATACAAAACATACAAAATATGTATGAAACATATGCATGTTCAGATGTCAATCATGTGTTAGTCATGCATTGAATTAACATATTATGGTGTTATATATAATATTTCACACCATAATAGTCTGTACAGATACATTCATTTTCCCTATGGCCACCATGTGAATTCCTTTTATTGTTCATACTGTCTAGATACTAAATGTCACATTATGACAGAGAAATACACATACACACACAATATACATAAGAACTGTAGCTGAAGTGTGTAGTGCAAAGTGTGTTACAACAGATAATTCTCCTAATACTCTCTGCCTTGTTTGCATTTGGAATTCACTTCAACGCTATCTGTTCAACACCTTGGTCTTAAGATTTCCACAAACCTTATTTTTCCTATTTTACATTAAAGTTTCCATTGGACAGCCTCTCTTACACAAAGATAAATCTGATCAATATCTCCATGCAGGCACAATCCTGAGCACAGCAATGAGTCGTTAAACTGCCATGACTATTTGTCAGGATGTAACACAGCCTAATCACAAACAGATGGGACTCAGGGCTGTTTCTGTTCTTTTTATTTTTTTGAATTTTTTCTCCAGAGTCTATCCTGATATGGAGGGTATTTAATCTCTCCTGAGGCGAGGAAATAGCAGAAAATATTGGTTTGGTTTGTAACTATTTACAATTCTTCATTTAATTGCTCCTTCAGATGTCTGTCTTTGCGGATGCTGTGTAGTAAATCGACATCAAATCTCTCATAGCTGCTAATCACATGTAAGGGTTAATGTAAGAATATAATGTTAAAGTGTTTGTCCCTCCCTACCTTGCAGGAGCAGATAGTGCACCGGTCAAAGGTTGGTGTCCACTCTTCTCCATTGCGTCTAATTGTTTCTTCCTGCGGGCAGTCGCCACTACAGCCAGGGCCAGACACACACATACAGTCATATCCTCCTGGGAGATTCACACACACACTGTCATTCCAGCAAGTGTGCGTCTCCAAAGCACACTCATCAATATCTGCAAAACAAAGAGAATCAGTGCGAATTACTTACAGGATGAACAGTGATGTCATCAAGGTCACAAGTAAAGCTAATACAGCGCTCAATTATTAAGCTGCTACAGCAACACTTTTAGTTTTCAACATTCAGAAGAGCCTCTGTCACTCGGTTTATGTCATGGACCAAACCTAGCACCACTGCTTTGTCACTAGATTAGAAAACAAATTAAGCAGCTGCTCTGTTTTGACATGCGTATCTGATTGGCTGCTAACATCAGATTATTGATGTGTTTCTATCTTAGTCATTGAAGAAAGTTTGACAAAGAATGTGTATTACTTTGTTCAGCTAAGGTAATCTAACAGTGACAGGCAGTTAAAAACTCACCCACGAGGTGGCAGCAAATTGTTAATAATTAATTGTTAATTGTTAATAATTAAAGAAAGAGAGCGACTCAGATGTAGAAAATCTTTGTGTGTCTTGCTTGAATTTCTGTGAGCATATCAACTTTGTGTTCAACTAAACAGGCACAGGTTTCTCACTGAGTTAGTAAATTGTGAGTTAATGGAAACAAACAAACAAAAAACAAAAACAAAAACAAACACTATTTCATTTCATTTCACTTTTTGGAACACTGACTTAGAACACAGTTGGGTATAGGACACATTGTCTCCTTCTTTCCCAGCTCTACTAAAGCTTTTTAACTACTTCTAAAACAGTGTTTTGCAAGAACTGATTTCTGTAGTGCTATACAGCAAAGTGTAAAAGAAAGGCATCGTCTTTTAACTGTTCCCTTTAGAAGTCACTAGAGTGAAGCATCTGCCTTCATCTCACCCTCTCCATCGTTTCTCTTACTGTTAGTTCAACCAGCTCCGTGTTCTCCTTCACTGCGGCTATGAATCAGCTCTGACATCTATCTCAATTCCTCCCACACCACGGCTCCGTCTACAACATTATTTCTCCAGTTTATCCACTATTTCTCATCAGCACATCATCATCCAAACCCTTTTACACTGCTTTACCTCAGCTTTCATATGGTTTTTTATTGCTCATAAAATAGCAAATAGGACACAGACAGCCCTTTTAAGATCCTATAGTTTGTCATAAAGAGACATTACACTTTCACAGGAATAAACAGCTGCTTTGTGCTTGATCATCATTTTTTTAAATAATGCAAATCAGTACAAACACAGAATCTGTTGCTGTTTTTTATTACCTTGCTTATTAGCAAAGTGCAAGGAAACAGGACAAATCTCTCTGTACTGTACTCTCTGTAAAAAAGGTGACATTTTATTCTTTTATTTCCCTTAAGTATGGAGGCTAAGAGTGAGAGGTAAAGAAAGAGCAAAGTGCTTCTGACAGTAGTTCTGCTCTCCTGTCTGCCTGCAGGTATCGATCACACCCACATAACACTGCTGGAACCCTGTCATGGCTGTGTGAAGAAAGGCAAAGAGAATGAAAATGAAATAAAAATGAAATATTGTAAGATCTGCTCATTATGAAGTATACTTATGAAGTATACCTACTTACCCTGCTTTAACATAACATAAAATACAAATAGATTTTTATTTGAAACCTTGTTTTCTTAAAACATAAAATATCTACTTTTCTTAAACACTTTAACCATCACAGCCCTGTTTAGGAGCCAATGAAGCATCTTTTTTTTTTTGAACAGGTATTTTAGACCATATAAAACTTGACTCTCGGGACTGCGACAGGCTGGATTTGTACCATAATTTGTACCATTTGTATCATAAAACAAAATAGAGTCTAAAAACCTGATTGGTGTTTGGTCCTCTGTCCTTTAATGCTATAGGTGATACATTTTTGGAATTTTTATTTGTAGAAAACATCTCTATACAAATCATCCACTTCAGAATTTCCTCTTTCAAGCCTTTTACTGGTCACGTGCTTTGACTGTAGCAGTTTTATACAAGGGCATGTTTAAAAAGGAACTTATTCTTCTTTAATAAGGTCTCATTAAATTGGTGGTAGGACTCCTGCTTGCCACCAGTGGGCTCTTTGTTTGGTACTGCTAAGTCCGGAATCCATGGTTGGGCTGCATGAGGAGATGAAAATCACTCTACAGACTACTGCTGCAAGCAGCACTAATGGAGGCAGCAGCTAAAATTAATATGATTCATTTTATAGTCGATGGAGAGAAAAAAACTTTTCCACTTTGTGGCAGGAAATTTTAAATCTTGAAAGAAATTGATTATTTGAATGTGGAAATGAATCTTGACTGGCATAAAACACCATACAAGTACAAAAACATGTTGTATTTATTTTATATATTTCTATATGTATTTTATGACAGCTACATCTGAAATGCTTTGGCTTTTTTTCATGCAAACTCTTGGTGGGGAGGGAAGGATGGTGATAGGTGCAGCCTAGAGGTTGAAAGATCTAAAAAATAATGCACTGAAAATTGCAGCTCACTACTCCTGTTCAAAAATATAATAAAAAATAAAATGGATAACCTCTGACACAAAGACTATTCTCCTTGATCATCAAATACTGGCTGCACAAACTGCACCAACAACAGACATAACCCCAGACTTTTGACACTAAACACACACTGCAATTGGTTGCAGGATCAAGTTTTGCTGGATAGAGATGGGAGAAAACAGCTTGGCTCAGAATTGATTGTTCCTGTAACAGACTATTCTCGTGCTAAGTGAAATCCCCATCAGCCCGTTAGAGACACTGTACCTTTGGTGGAGGAAGATTAATGCCCTTAATGCTACATTCACAGCTGCTGCTCAAAGATGAAGCTCAGTTGATTCTCACATGTGGGCTGGAAAAGTCTGTTTTTACAACCAAACACAAAGCCCCAGGAGATAACAGAGCAGAAAAAAATCCCAGGGAAAAATCCCTGTACAGGCATAAAAACAACAACGTGTTGATAAATGAAGCAAATAAATCCCTGTGTCAGATGTTGGTAATTAAAAGGAAATCGGGAAAATCCGTGTGTGGGTATTTTACATTATTTTTGTTGGCAGCACATATGGAAAGGTCATGTTCTTAACCCGAAGAGAGAAAACTGCCTGCACACACCGACTGCGGGGCTACAGTTGTGGTGCATTACACTTATCTACCACACATCTGTTTAATAAAGCCACCATTCCTCCCTCCAGCGAATGCATAATGAGGAGTCCAAGTAGCTTTTAGTCCAAACGATTAAGGAAAAGAACTGTTGTTTGCAGCTGCCTCGCACTTCATCACAACCGGTACGCAAACAAACGCCAAGCAGCAATTAACCATCAGTGCAGCTGCACAGAATGCTTCGGCTAAACTTGATGCTGAAAAGTTTCAATGCAGAACTCATAACACTCAGCTTCTGACGACATGTACTGTATTATGTGTGAAGACATGTAAGTCCTATGTAAGTATGAAACAATTAACACCTCTCAGGGGAACTGTAGTTAAGAATGTGTGTTTAAAGCAGTAGTTCCCAACTATTTGGCTTGTGACCCTATTTCTTGCAGCTGTCACTCAAGATGCCTCAGCTCAGATATCTTTACCTGCTACATTTTATTTTAACTGGCTTTATACACATGAAAGTTGTTTAAGATTGTGTGTCATTTTTATTGTTTTTAAAAAATAATTAGTTGAAAAAATAGTTGTTGTTTTTTTTTACCATTTACTAGACATTAAAGGTGACCCGAGGTTGATTGAACACAGATTTAAAGGAATATGAGGAAATTAAAATTTTACATTTAGCAAAGTTATAAAAAAATGAAAGATTACAATTTGGTGCATCATCAGTAATGTTGACAAAACCCACACAGGAGCCCTGCTGTTCCTAGTTTCTCTTTTAACTGTGTCCCCGTGTTTGTGGGAAAACAATCTCATGGCGCTAAATTTAACAGCAGCAGCAGCAGGCTGATGTGTGTTTCTCATAAATATCTCATTAAGATGTGATTGCGTGTGTGTGTATGTGAGAGAGATAGGGAGAGATGGGGAGAGGGAGAGAGGGAGAGGGAGAGGGAGGGAGAGAGAGAGAGAGAGAGAGAGAAAGAGAGAGAGAGGGAGAGGGAGAGAGAGAGAAAGAGAGAGATTTTCACTGCATGGTTTGAACTCTGGCTGTGAAGGTGAGAAGATCTCTGATTAGCTTCCTACATGTCTGCTGCTGGCATGTTTGAGTAGACACACATGAACCCGGCACAGTTTGAAGCTACAATCACAAGCTCATTTTTCCAAACCAGGTACATCCAGCTTTTGTTTGGGAAGGCGGAACTGAAAAAAAATACTCCAGGGTGCAAGCATAAAGGCAGAATTCCAACTCTGTGAGCAACAAAGAGTGAATAGTAGCTTCAGTCTGTGTTGGACATGCAGAGGCTGCATACTGTAACTGGCATTTATAAGCAGTGACAAGAATGTGATGAATTTTTCAGTATATTCTCACCGATGCAGGAACTTCCATCAAGCATGTAGGAGCCATTGTCATGGAAACCATTCCTGCACTCGCAGTGGTACCAGCCTGGGAGGTTGACACAGCGGGAGTGGTTGTGACACTCGATCAGGCCCTCTGCACACTCATCGATATCTGTGGACACAAACGCACACAGTCGCATCAGTATCACTTCAAATGATTTTTCCCTTCCACCAAAACAAGGCCCAGACTTGGCCTTGGTGGGCTCTTCTTTTTAAACTCTTCTTTGATCTATGTTAGCTACAGCAGTGAATGTTAAACCACACAGAGCAAACTGCAATTACCAGAGCATGGTGGGGTCAGTGGCTGCCCAGATTAGACTGGCAACATCTCTGCAGCCCTTCTGGCACAGTAGGGATCAAAGTCTTTTATAAACCACAGTGTTTGGCAGCAGTGCATTTTCCTTTGTGACTTCTCTACTTCTTATTCTCCCTCACCCTCCTTTTTCTACTTGGCTCGCTTTGTCTCCGGGATGTGGTGTGCATACACATGCTTAGCCCAGAGGTGTTGGGTCTTTGCTCTCTTAAATCTCTCTCATTCATTATGTATGGTGCGAGCCTCACATTTGCACATCTGCAGCTTTTCTTTTTTTTTTTTTAACTTCTGGCTCTAGGACCTGAACTGCACAATCCCATAATAGGTAAAGTGTGACCTTCAGTTTTCCCTTTAATAAAGCTAACACACACACCATAGCACATTTGGAAATGTGCAGAGTGCTCATTAACTGCTATGACTGCATGTTTCGAGAATTGCTGAAAGCCAGAAAGCTTTTGTAGCTGGGTGAGTAGAACATGTTTTTCTTTAAGTGAGGAACTTACGGACACATGCACGCTCACAGTGAACCTCTGGGTGAGCCATTTAGCAGAGTGTGGTTGTTTTGTTGGGGATGTCTGGTGAGCTGCAGGTAATAGGACGTGATGCCCTCTGGAAGGGCTCCGCTGATTAGGGTGTGTAAGAGGAACTAACCCTTCAACTGAAAGGCATTGTGGGATGAATGATGGGACCAAAGAGGTTAACATAATGGCAGCAGAAACATATAGTTACTTGCTCCTCAGTAACTGACCCCAAAACACACGTACAATGTGTTAAGAGACCATTTTTACCGTATTTTTTTCTGAATTTCCTTGCCTTGAAACTTTACAGTCACATTGTTCTCAAGCTGGCATTTCACCAAATGCAGGCACAAGCTTCTCACTGCCAGAGCAGCATATAATTCCAGGAAACATATTAAGAAATTTTCCTAAGTTTAGTCACAGCTAATTTAAGATGGCTTCAGTTGAGCAGATCAGAGGGACAGTTGTACTGAGGAGAGATACTGAATATATCTGACAAAGGATGTTGGAGATGGAATTGCATGGAAAGAGGAGAAGAGGAAGGAGATTTGCAGATGTCATAAAAGAGGACATGGTAATAAAAGAAAAGAATGATGATAAACAATTAAAACTACATATTTGCTTATGTCAATGCCAAAAATTGTTTGAATCCTGTGTCCACTTTTGTACCATGAAAAAAGTTCAAATGCTTTAAAACCCTGTCAGAACCTTCACTCTCCTCTGGTATAAAACTCCTTGTAGCAGCTTAACATTGATATTTGGATTTAACTATTGCAGAAATTAACACTCATGAAAAAATAACATGCTATGTTTTTATCTACTCATATCTACTAATGCAGTTTAAATTTTTTTGACAGTCAATTACATCCAGGGCAAGCAGCCATTAACTGAATGTCAAAATAATCATCTATCATTTGTCAAAACACATAAATGCAAAGCTCCTGGGTCTCTGTGTCAACAGTGAGGTGGAACACTGTCCTTGCTAATCCCACAGCATAAGACGGCAGCCACCAGTCACTGTGGCTTCACAGTGGAAGTGCACAGCTGCGAGTCGCTTAGAAATACACCACAGCGACTCCACATATCATTTTATATAGCTCACAGTCTAATTAATGAACCTGCAGCGCACCGTATGTTTGCTGCAAATCTCACCGTCCCTGTAACCATTTAAATGATCTGTCACGGCTGCAAATAAAATAAACTGTTTAGTAGAAGTTAAAACTGTGGAACCAGCATTTTTTTAAACAGGAAGAGACTATTCATTATTTTTATGTTCGCTTTTCTCACTTCCTTTTGTTAGTACATCTTATAGGACTTTATACATCTTATAGGACGCCTTATTTACTATGAGGAGGATTACACAAATACAGATTCTCCTTCTGCATGAAGAGATAGGCCAGAATAAAATTCTTAGCTAGATTGAGCTGGGATTAGATAAAGACCATCAAGTAGGAGTGAAGAAGCAGATGTGGTACCCAGGGACAAAGGTGCAAAAACTAAATAGGACAGCAGTGAGTGAAATGACAACAAATCAAAGACGAGGACCCAAGTCACAGCTGGGCGAAGAATACCGTAAAATTAGAGAAACAAAAAAATGTTTTCACATTATCTGCTGTATACCATTTTGCGATAAGTCCCCCCCCCCCGACCCCCCCAATTTAAAACCCTGTTTTGGTGACAAAATTTGTTTTGTTTTTGCATCTTTAAAGACATTTGCAAAGATAAAAGAAATACATTCCAGAGACTAAGTCACCAGCAACAGAGCAGGGATTCACTGCAATTTCTCTTTTTTTTTGTCACGCTAATTTAAACGGTTGTGATACAGCAGCATGGTTTTCCCCTGGGATCAATTACTTCTTAACATATGTTTACATGCTGAGAATAGATGGAGGAAGTGAAAAGGGTTCATTCACTGATGAGATTGGATGGTTTTCAACTTTCAACTCCAAGTCTATTAGGTATTTAAAATAGCTCCTTGACAAACGTTTGGCCTGATGGTGGCACCAGAGGTCAGCACCGCATCATTAAAGTGTCCATTTCAATGCTTCTGTGTCCACTCTAATATGAGCTGAAGTGTCTGGTGTCAACACCACAGTTCAGCTCATATTTAAAGACTATTAGTCAATATTTGCAATCTGAGAGCTGTTCACTGTTCACCGCTGCGATTGTTGCACGAGAAGCAGCTGGTTTCACAAGGCCTGTGATCCTTTTATTGTCATTTAGAAAGTCATCCATCAAACACCTAGTAAAGACTTTTTATTTAGACACATTAAGGTTCATTTTATTCACATACTGTCAATAATTTCTGCTGCTGAACAGTTATATGAAGCCACTCATTAACAAGTGTATGTTTGTGTGTTTGTGTGTGTGTGGGTGTGTGTGTTGGCAAGCAGTTATTTGCTTTCTCTCTCTGTCAGTGGCAGTGAAGTGGATAGGTGACCTTCTGGTGGCATGAAGTACAATCTGATGAAGTGCACAAACACACACACATATACCCACACACACATATACACACACAGACACACTCCATCAATCTTTGTTAGAGCCACAGGAAGGAAAGCAGCCAGACAGCATTTCACAGCTGCCTGTGTTTCCTTGAATTACAATGCAAACAGGAGCACAAAGTACTTTTTTGCTTCACTTCAGTTCTATCTTTCAGAGTGCATCAGGGTGTGAGGACACAGTGACAGCCCAGACCTGCAGAGGGCTAAATACAGTTATCAAAATACGTCTTTAAGCTCAGTGAAAACTCCTCCGGACTGTTGGAGTTGACATAATTACAGTATTCTGTGGGGCACATGCAGAAACTTGGTTTTTGATATGAAAAATACCCACATAGGTGCATTGTTACTTGACAAATTAAAAACAAGAAAGATGCAATAAATTAAATTAAAGGAGCATTCCCAGTGAAAATGAAACACAGTCAAGCTCTAACTAAGAGGTGCAATGCCACACCTGCAGACTGATAGTGTTCTATTAATTTCTCCTTGTGTTTAGTTGTTTAATTTTCTAAATATTAATTTCACCTAACTGTGAAACACTAACATGATAAGGTTTCTTGCTGTTTTTGAAAATTGGTTACTTATTCTTCACAGCGAGTGAACAACAGGGGTCATTTTAGGAGGAACTGTTCAGCCTCTGCTTTTTTAAAGTCTGTTACAACAACAACAACAACAACAACAACAACAACAATAATAATAATAATAATCATAATCATCATCATCATCATCATCATCATCCCAGAGTGGACCTTTAGGGGCAACGTGGTCAAATATAAACAGACAATTGTGAATAAAGGATCAACCAGTGTCTCTGATTGACTCTAAATGTAGGTGTTCTCAGTCTCTGCACGTCACAGAGGAGGTAAAGGGCAGGTGGAACGGAAACGACAAATTTATTGTACGTACAAGACATCCAGTCCAAGTTGGGAATATAAGTTAAATTTAGGACCTGCACCACTTCCAGCAGATGCCTATGGCAAGCCTTGAGGGTAAAACTCCATCATCTTGACAGAAGAAGCAAATGGAACTATTTTATTTCCGTGACTCTGTAAGAGCATGGTGTGTACAGATCACAGCATGTAGACTGTTTACGTACATTAGTAAGTAAATAAAGATATTAATGTTACTCCTTTGAACATTTTCAAGGAGGAGTGCAATCCCTTATCCTGTCTTTAGGTATTTTATAAAGACAAAGACCTTTGGGCAGTTTGACCTCACGTGTCTGCTTACATTTGACGTCTATATTCACACAACTGACCAAATGCACCAAAGCAGGGCTTCAGAGAGAGAGAAATGAGTCATTTCCTCTGCCTAACAGGCAGCTAGGACTGACAGCTGTAGATTTTGTGACACCTACGTGGCTGCGGCCGTGTGCAGAACTACCGTACTGTACATGCAGCCCTGAAAGGAAACTATGGCAACCTGCTGTCACTAGATGACCTGTGATTGTTGCACTCTGAGAAAACAGGTTGATCAATTCTGTGAAATCAGACCGTGGAGAACAGACCGAGAAGAGAAAAGAAAAAAACCCAAAATGATTGAAAAAGAGAGAATAAAAAAAAGACAGGGAAAAAATGAGTGAAGCTGTAAAAGGGATGGCAGAGAGAAAATTACAGGTAAAGAAAAAGTGATTGTGGGTCTAAGTGAGAGAGGAAGCGGGAGATAAAGGAGAGAAAACGACAAAGAAGGAGGTAGGAAAATAGGGATGTGAGGCGATGGGTGGAGGAGGTGTGGAGAGAAGCATTAGCTGTCCTTTTCTACAGCTCTCCTGGGATTCTCTATTGCTGCAGTGTCCAATTTAAGGTTTAGCTTTAGAGTTTGTGCGTGTGGGTGTGTGAGTGGCAGAGATAAAAAGCGAAACAAAGAGCGTCAGGATTGACCAGGTGACCCTTTGTCTGATGTCATTACTGAGACTCTTGGGAGAGAAAAAACAACATGCAGCTCCATTTGAGTGTTAATTGGCTGGAACATCTGAATATGCTGGACATGTAAGGAGTCCAGCAGGGTTCCCAGGGCCTTACCTGTCTCACAGCGGCGTCCTGTGAATCCCGAAGGACAGACGCACGTGTTGGGAGACACACAGGTCCCTCCACTCCGACATCCCTCTTCACAAAAGGCTGAAAGAAAAAAAGCAAACAGAAGAGTTGGCTTTGTCTTCCTGTAGTAAACGCAGCAGCAGCAGCACAAATGAGTTGTTAAATTTCTGCAGTTTAAGGTTATTACAGAGTGTGAAGTAGTTCCCTTGACTGTTAATAAAAACAATATAATTGCTCTGTCAGAGACTTGACTCTTTTTTGTCATTCACATGGAATTTTATACAGTTTTATTAGTTTTTATTTAAAATACAAATGCATGCCTTTGTCAGCGCGACCTGCCACAGGCCTATTATAAAAATGAATGACAACCTGAGCATCCGGATGAAACGGCTGCACTTTTATCACCTAACACCACCTCACACCCAGCCTCTACTGAAATCTGTTTCCTTTAGAATGAATTTTGCTTGAGTGAACGTGTCTGTTGTGAAATCAGTCTCCGCAGTCATCCTGAGGACGGCTTCCTCCATGTGGCTGAAAGAGGATCTGACTGATGGATGTAAACAGTCTGAGCAGATGAAACTGCCTGATGTGGCAACAGTGCTGCCTTTTTGAAGGTAGCATTAATAAATCTTTTATTTGTGCTATGAAAGAGAAGAGAGCGAGAGAGAGACAGAGAGAGAAATGGGTTTACAGCTTTATTTCAGACAGACAGTCATTTGAAAAAAAAAATGTAAACACCACTATATGATTATCTGTTCTGTTGTGTCCTGAAGAACCCGCTGTTGCTTTCAAGGACCACTTTAGAAACAAATATTAGTTACATTTTACATTCAAAACATATTTTCCTACCATAGTATAAATGGTGCATACATCACACACATTTTGCTTGCAGCTTGTCAACTTTGCAGCTTGAGCAAGTGAGTTTTGGTGCAGGTGGACTACGACTACTACTTCTACTACTACTACTACTTCTACTACTACTACTTCTACTACTACTACTACTACTACTACTCCTGGGACTGCTATTTTCAAATGATCTGTGCACACAGCAAGTGTCTGGCAAACTGGCTCAGACTGAAAATCTGCACCTCCGAAACTGTAGTTCATGGATAATTTATTCGTAATAAAACCATTGGCCTATCAGGAAAATCCTTACTGTTAAATGAAGTACTACCACAACTGGCACTTTATTTAAATTCTGAAACCACACACAATGTTGTTAGGTTGATCTATTGCATTATTGCCCAGTCCAGTCTCTGCAGGGCTGCCTGTAAAATTAGTTCTGGCCCTGATTTCTACTTTTCTTTTAGACCATTTAGAGCAAGAACTGCAGTGTTCTGAGCCTGTGATTTATTCACTCCAGTATTTCACCAATGCTTCATTATTTTGGCAACAAAAATATATTTGCAGAGGCAGCTCATGCACCACAGTTTGAGAACCACCAGTCCAAGTCACTAGAAAGCAAAACAAAAAAACATGATTGCTTAGAGTGTAAGGTGGAGGCTGAAGCATAGCAAAAGCCAGCTCATACAGATGGACAATTATACAATTACAATTTATACCTGTCTATTCTGTCACAAATGGAAGGTAACATTGCATATACAGTCTATTGGTCTAAATAAAGACTTTGTCTATTCAGTCGGTCCTCAGCTTACAACATCCTTGCCAAGAAATTTGCACAAAAATGAGTTGTGGAGGGGACGAATACGTTGTCACACAGTGCTATATGTGGAAGACGGCTTTGTTCACATTCACTGGGTGTACGCCCTACATTGGATTGTGCTAAGTTTACTTTCTTTTGTTTGTATGTTATGGATTCTGATCTTATCAGTGTACCAGCGTAGGTGAGTGACATAGGAACTTATGTACAGTATGTACTCACAGCATATGAACAGCACTCTGATGTAAGTCGAGGACCTCCTGTATTTTGAAAGTCAACAGAGTTACCATAAGGATGGACACTCGTTGTCAAACACTTTCAAATCGTCATGAATGTCATTTGCCGGAAGTTTTTTTTTTTATCTGATGTGCAGCTGTCTGACAGTTGAGTGTGAGGAATAGCATGTAGGCAAGCATGCATGTGCAACTGCCTGACTGCTTTTGAATGGAGAAGGCTGGCAGAACAAATTCCTGTCATTTGTTCTGCGAGCACAGGTGGTGTGATGCATCACGATACCTGAGAACAACAAAGAACATGGGGCAGGTTGACTGGAGCTGACAGAGAAAGTAGGAGGAAAGAGTAGTTATAGGCTTTAGTATTCAACTGGGCTAAAAAAAAATCTATTTATAGTCACATGCACTAGATGTGTGTCTAAAATATATGGATATGGCTGTAGAATCTGTGGGTGATGTATGTGTGCTGGCTTTTCTGCCTTTGCTTTATGACTCCAGAGAAATATCATTATCAATAAATTATAACGCTGGCATTTGAAAAAAATTAAAATCCATCAAATTGAAGTCACATGCATTAGTGTAATAAATAAGCAGAGTCCAACACCAGAAGCCATTAGCGCGATAATTTGACTAGTTCCACTATTTAAGAAGTTCTATCAGGCCCTCATTAGGAGCCTGATTGCCTCTGTACTAATAAAGCTCACATTTAAGAATTAATTGCACTTATATTGACTCAATCCATCTCCAGCTCTCATTATCATTTTACCATCATCAGCATAATGCTGCCTGTTTGTCAAACTAACGACTTCTAAAGATGAGGGGGGTTCAAAGGAAGTGAGTCTGGAGGAGATTTTTCAAGACTCCCATTTTCTTTTTCTGCTGACAACAATTTACTTAGAAACCCAACAGCCCATCATTTTCAGTTTTACATAGCAAATAAATATCACATATTTCTATGTGAAACTGGTAAAACTATGTGGGAAAGAGAAATATTCCAAGAGTAATTTGTGGCTTCTCAGAGAAGACTGGAATGTTCAATTTACTATTATTATTATTATTACTATCTAGTAGTGGACTACCAGTAGTGTTGCAATAGTTCTTATTATACTTTTTGCAGCGGTATTGTCTACCAGTAGTGTTGCAATAGTTCTTATACTTTTTGCAGCGGTATTGGCTGCAGGGATTTGGCACACAGCTGGACTTGAACTTGTGACCTCCTGGTCCGTCCTCTAATGAGCAGATTTACACATATTTACCATTTGTGATTTTAAATGTGTCAATTTTCTTTTATTTCTCTTGTACTGAACCCATTTTGGCTAAATATTTCCTAAATATAGCCATGAAAACAAATTTGTCTTTGATATGATTAATTGATTAGTAGTGTTTTTTATTATTTTAGTCATAGCCATGCTAACATTTTTTTTTCATTAGCTTATGTGTGCAGAACACTTCATTTCCCCCCACCAGCACACAATCCATATAATTGTCTGCTATTGTTATGTGCAGCCCATGCTCCAGTCTACCTGGGTGTATGTGTAGCTACAAACATATTTCCTCAGAACTGAGACGACTGGTCCTCCCTCCATATTAAATCACTTAGACCCCCTGCTTCGTTCTACTTCTCATATTTATTCTCTTACTCTCCATTTTACTTAACATCTTGCTGACTAGTGGCTTCTTGCAACATTCTCACATCCATAGATTTGCTATTTAGGTTTCCCATTACAGTCCAAGATTGCTTTCCAGTGGGTGGTAAGAGTGGCATTTTGTGCCACGGCTAACAGTCACATTTACAGTTATCATGTGTTCAAGGAGCCACATGGTTATTATCAGTAGTGTCTTAGAGAAAGATGACAGATATTCAACAAATTTAAGTAGAAAAGAGAGAATGTGTAGAATTGAAAAAAAAAAAGAATGCAGGCGCTGAGGGATAAATGTCTGTGAAAAACAACCCTGTGAATAATGAGAATGTAATGAACTGTTAGATTTGTCAAACACAAATGGGTATTTAAACAGATGAATACCCAGAGAATTACCATTCAACACAGACAATTTGGGCCATTTTGTACATTTACTGAATAGGTCATTTTTGAAAACACTTAAGGAAAAGTCATAGAATCACCAATACGTCTTTTCAGAAAACTGAAAAAAAAAATATTGATGCTGAAATAATAATTTCCACACAGCCTAACACTGAGTGTTCTATATTGTACATTTTACAATATGGTTGTACAAAACAAACCCTCCAAGAAATATGAAACACAATGTGCCTGCATATTGCACAGATAATGCAGTGAAAGTAAGACGTGGTTAAAAAAAACCCCCACACAACAGAGACTCATGGAGCATCAGTGATTGCAGGAGAACACACAGGTAGGTACTTAATGACTGTCTTCTCTTTATACCACCTCCAGTGTCTGTGAAATGTCTGCATATCTCCCCTGCTAATAAACGTACAGCAGCCGGCTTGCACTGAGAGTTACAGGACCATTGTTAGCTCACACAAAAGAACTAAAAAAATCAGATACTCAGTGAGGACAGACCAGAAACCTGATTTACTCATACAAATCACTCTCACTTGTAAAACATCAAGCAATTCACCCCAGGCTGCTCCCTCTGTTCGGCATTTACTCAACATCACAGATAATGACTGCACTTACACCACAATAAGGACTCCTGCCAGGTGGCTGCCGTGGATTAAAAATGCATTAAGCATGATTTTTACTGCCATAATGTATCTGTGGAAGAGTTGAAAGGCTGGTTGATCAATACTGCTGACACGACAATTAATTCCACAAGGTACTCTGGGAGATTTCTAGCCCTGGAACGCAGCTCCACATATTTCAAACTACTCAAGAATGAAAGGAGGGAGGGGAAGGAGTGAGTGGGTGAACAAGCAGGAGACATAAAACAGTCGGAGGGATGATTATGCCAATACACAGCAAGACCTTCATCATTTCCCCTTACAATGTTTTTCACTTGATGGCTCGGAGCTTTTTCATAAGCTCCGTTGGAAGGTAAAATGGCGTCTAAACACAATCAATAAGAGCAGCGACATTTAATTAAATATTCTTACTTAAGCTAATGGGGAAACTAATAGTTATAATATAAAGGGTCTACTGCTTTGAACAGGATAGAAATTCTGTGTGTGGTCCAGCTCTGGGTGGAGGGGAGTAGACTTTATTTGT